GGGACTGTCTGGGTGTGTGGGTTCAGACTAGAAAAACATCTCATTAGCTGCAGGCTCTCTGTGGCTACTAGCTAGTTTCCATTTCTACAGTCAGGGCAGGCCGAGTTGTCGAGGGCCTCAGCCTAGCAGGCACTGAATGTGGGAGGGAGTCCCAGCAGCAGGATCTCTCAGGGCTGTGGTTTGCTTTGGCAAGGCCCAGGGCCCCTGAGGGGGCAGAAAACAGTGAAGTACCTTAATTTTTTTCTCACGGAAAGATGAGAAATTAAATAATCAAGATTAGATCCCAATTAGGAGCACTTTTGCATGATATTAATTAATAAATCGATTGATACAATCACCATTTGGAGTGTCCACTCTGTGTTGGGTATGGCACTCAGGGACAGGGACACAGAAATGAGGAAGATGTAGTCCTTGTTTTTGAGGCCCTGGCAATCTGTGATGGAGACAGATGTCGAGTACGTATGCAGGGTTGCGGCGCCAGGCCCTGCCAGCCTGTGGCCAGACCAAGGGCCGGTGCTTCACTGTGTAGGTGATAGGAAACCACTAACGGCTTCTCAGCCCGCAAGGTCTCTGGTCGCTTTCCAGGGTGATTTTGAGTGGAGCAAGCCTGGAAGCAGGGAGAACCCCAGATTCAGAAACTTTTAGAAATTTAAGAAATGTACGCAGAGGTTAAACCGATATAGGCAACGTAATCCAGGAAGTATTAACCGATGATCAACTTAAATGAGAACCTATACTGATCTTTCACTTAACTATAGGAAACATATTTACATCTCTCTTGAACTTCCTTCAATCCTCTGTTGGTATCACTGAGCTCTCCCCCAAGTCTCCCTGCTAGCATGGGGTTCGAGCTCTGCTCCTGGGAGGTGCACAATATTCTTCTTCCAAGTAGGACAGGCACACTCCTGCCCCTCCAGATGTCATGATGATTTTCCCCTCAGCTATACTTATTCTCTTCCTGTCTGTGAGGTTGGGTAGCTTCAAGGCCACCTAACTCTAGTGGGGGTGGGTTGGTGAATGTGTGAGGCCTTCAGGCATGACCAGACCAGGAGAGGTGTTTACCCAAAAAGTTTCAGGCTTTGAGGTGAGAACCAGAATGTTGCTAGCTGGGGGGTGATTTCAATTTCTGTAGCTGGAGGGAGGGTGTGGAGGATAAAGTTTGTTAGGCAAGGTGAAGATGTAAAGGAAAGGTGGGCTCTGAAGTCAGGATCCAGAGCAAGGTGCAGTGAGGTTGGAGGAAGAGATAAGGACAAGTGCCCAAAGAACAAGACTGTGCTAGGTGCCACTTTTTATGGCTGCATGTTCTCGGTTCAGGCATCATGGCTTCATGGAACTGTGCAGAACACTGCAGTAAAGTATAAATTTGAATAGGGATATAAGGTCTGCTAGTATTTTAGACAAAAAAGCAAAAGAAATTAAAGAAAAATAAGTGTCCAGAAAAAAAAAAAAGGACCAGTAGGTTTAATACCCACTGGTGTCTGTGGACCCTAGTGGCTGGAAATACATGGCTCTTACATAATTTGGGACACCAAACCCCTACCCATATGATACAGACATGGTGGTGGAAGGAACTGTAAGCACAGGCCTCGGGTAGTAAGACCCAGGAAGGAGAAGCTGGAGGGGGTTTTGTGAAAACACACAAATTCAAACCAGCCAGCTTAAAACTTCTAAAAGGCTCTGTTTTTTCTTGATGGCACAGAAGTTTCCAGCTAAGTGCGTAAGCATAAGCATATTTATGATTCTCTCCTCTGCCTTTCTCTGCTGATGTGAGCCAGGGTGGGTTTCTAGATGGGGAGAACTCGTTCTGGCTGAATGTTTTTAACCTGTGCTGGGACTGTGCTGTTATGGCTGCCGTGACTGACTTCCTTGCTTCTTGCTGTCACCAAGGCTGACTGAGACCACCTGGGAGCCTCTCTACTTGGGCAGAGTCATCCTATTCTTAAAGGGGGCACCATGACCCAGGGGCCACCGTGAAGATTATGAAGGTGTTCCTGTTGTTACAATAATTACACGGGAGGCTAGTAGACTTAGGTGGCTCTAATGCCCTGGGCTCCTATGTAAGCAAACTGAAACCTAACTCAGAATTTAAAAAATAAAACTCAAGCTCAGCCAACTAGGCACAAGTTATAGTGTCTTCAACTTCCTACTAGTGTAGTCCAAGTAAGGCAGTTGTTTATACTTTAACCAATGAAAACGTTCCTTTGTTGTGCTTCCACATTCATCCTATAAAATCTTTCCCCTCCTGCCCCTTCGGCAGAGCCCCCAAACCACTTGTGGTCTGGAGCTGCCTGATTCTTGAATAGCCGTTTGCTCAAATAAACTCCTTAATATTTTAATGTGCCTCAGTTTATCTGTTAACACAGTGCAGGGGTGCCTAGCTGAGGTGGCAAAATGCAGCCCACACTCAGCTTGCTAAGCCATGTGCCTTGACAGGTAGGAAAGGGAGCCTTTTATTAATGCAAATGAAGACACAATACACGCCAGTGTTGGCCTTGTCCTGACCAGTAGCTATGCCTCGTGTATGACACTCTCAGCCGATCACATTTGCTTTTCACAGCCACCTGGTGAATCAGAGGGACATTGATGATCATGCTCCCAATGTCGGTGCAGGAGATGGAAGGGCAGAGAGTGTAACTGACTTACTCAGGTAGTCTCTTGGTTTGTCAGGGCCAGAAGTTGAATTCACCAAGGCCTGATCTTAAGTTTAATGCTCTTTGCACCCTACCTCTCACCAGTACTTTTCCCTTCTCCAAACTCCCATTCCAGGAATTCTCAGCAAGGAACCTGCACCCAGCTATTAGTCTATGGCAACCCGGAGGAAAGGGATCTCAGCTCAGCAGCACACAGAACAGCACCTAGTGGGATGCCTCCTTCTTGGAAACGCAGCACTGAGCCTTTGCCGGTGCCTGTGCAGGGAGTCCTTACTGAACATCCTACCCAATCCGCCTCAAGTTCAGTCTCAACCCTTCTCTAGCAACTTTTAGCAGCTTTTCCCTTGCAGGGTGGAGGGGGTGGGGATTGGGTGGATTTGCAAAACATTAATGAATATAATCGGTGCCTTTTCCCTGACCCGGCTTGGCTAGCTGCACTAGGCTGAAATTCCACATTCCATTGTTCTCCTTCTAAGAAAACAGAACTGGCTCTATTTAGCCCTAAGAATTGTCTGTGTAGACTTGTTTAAGAGAATTTGCAAATCAGATGGATTTAATGTTTACTGTGTCTCCTCTAGTCCAAGGGAAAACTATTATGTCTGAAAGCCATCAGCACTATGTTCTGAAAGGTTTCCCAGCCATTGTTCACTTGTATTCTGGTCAGTATGCGGGCTCAGTGCAACTTTCTCATTTCTTACTTATCTGTATGCACATTTTATGCATCCTAGCCATAGTGCTCAGCTGTTGGGTTTACTACCCAGTTCTTTCTCTACCAGTTATCTTTCTTTGTCAACCTATATTGTTACAGTGATGAGGCTCTGGGAGCCACTTTGTACAATGCTATCCGCACCACTGTCCTGGTCACAGGTGATTAGACCAGGATTGTACACCCAACTTGGCCAGTCTCTAGGAATTTGAAAGTGGTCCAGTAAGAGAGACTTAGTCTTTCTTTGGGCTGTTGGCTCTGAATGGCATAAACTTAGAAGATGCTGCTAGTCATGTTGTCTATCATTGGACAGAGGGAATATTTGGAAGCAAGTATAAATAGAGGAGGAAGAATGAAACAAAAGTAAGAGAGAAACAGAGAAGAAAGATGGATTTAGAGATCTGTTTCTGGTTCCAGAACCTGTTTGAGACCCAATTATATTCTGTTTTTTGGGTTTCAGGACATGCCCCTTATGATAAAGGCTTCTTTTTGTTCAAATTATTTCCAGCTGGTTTCTATTAAGTACAATTAATAGTTCTTTCTGATAGTTTAGCCAAATGGTTCTCAAAGTGTGACCCGTGCATCGTCATCTTCACCGGGGCACTTGTTAAAAACACAGGTTCTCATCCCCATCCCAGATCCACTAAATTAGAACATCTGGAGATGTGTGTTTTAAAAACCCCTCCAGGTATCTCCAGTTTGAGAGCCACTGGCCTCGCCATCCCTAGTAGTGGGCAGGAAGAGCAAGGGCAGGCCTGGATTTGAACCCCGGACCCATGGACTAGCGATATGTCTCTGGGCAAGTCACATCACCTTGGAGACTCAGCTTTGTCAGCGGTAAAAGTGGAGGATAATGATGTTTACATTATGCAGCAGCTATAAGAAAAGCACACACTTCCAGGCACTTGAAAAACACCAGTTTTTATTTTTCCCTCTGTGGACCCTCTTCTGACATAGAAGACAAGTAAGATTGATCTAAGTCATTCATTGTGGAGACACAACCTGAGCTTTTAATAAACAACCCATCCCCTTAACAGAACAGGTTCAGAGCTCACACCTAATCACAGCACCTAGACCTTAGCCCTGGGGCCAGGTTCCTCTAGGTTACCATGGGGCTGTTGGGAATTAAACCCAATAAATCTGAAACTCATTTTGATCCCTTGGGTCTCACTGACCTGTTTTCCTACTGTGTGGTGGAAGCCATGCAGGCTGGACCACCCCAGAACAAAACCAAGAAATAAACTAGTTTATCTTTGAGGAAGGAAAGCACAGGCTTCCACTTATTAATTTACTTATTCACTCATTCATTCATTTGTCCACCCACCATTTATTCATTCACTGACTCTTTCATTCATTGATTCATCCATCTGACACTCATTGAGCTACTTCTCTGTCCGGATGCCATGCCAGAGGCTAGGGATTTATAGATAAGGCCCTTGCGTCCCCTCCCTCCCCTACGATTGATAACAGATAACAGTATGAACAAAGACACAAAGGTAGGAAGTGGTCTGGGCATGAGGAGATCACAGTCAGGAGATCTGTCTTGCCGAAGCAAAAGGTGGTTGTTGAAAAGTATGAGGCATGGGAGTCCAAGCTAGTAATGGAATGAAACAGCTAAAAGACATCTGCTTTGGTTTCAACAGCATATCCGTCTGCAATCAACAGCAGCGGATGTTTTGCAAGGACCTCCCAGTTTTTTGGGCCACATTTGAGCCGACCCAGGATGGATGACCCTGCAGCAGGTAGATTCATGTGCCAAATACTGTTCATGCTGTTCATACTCTACGAGGGGTGGGCTGGTGAGGTCTCATTATAAAAGAATCCTTGTGTCTGCTACTACATGACAGCTGAATCAGTCCAACCCCAAGTGAACTCATTCTGGTGTCCAAAAAGCCTAGCTATTTTCTGGATGCATCTCCACCCAGTTCTTGGCTTTCGTATCACTGGAACTTAAAGTTTCTATGCAAAATGGGACAAAAACATTGAACCTTTCCCCAGACGGCTCTGCAGGAAATTCATCCAATTGGATGCTTCCTCAGACATATCCTTTAGGGAAGTCTGGGCCAGCATTTCAGATACAAAAGAGATGTGGATGGTCTGGGAGAGGGTAGCTGCTCAGTAAATCCTGCCTCCCGTTTGAAGGGTGGTTTTTCTGCTTGCGTCAATTACAAACTCCCTTAGTGAGAGTCAAACTGTGTCTTTCTTATTCCCAGACCTTATATAAGAAGAACAAAAATAATGACTAACATATTGTATGGGGTAGGTAACACCCTTGGCCTCACTTGACCCTTGGCACTACCCCTGAGCAGTAGTTATTAGCATTTCGTGCCCATTTAACAGGTGATGAGATGAGGTTCAATTCATCAAAGTGTCTGAGCTTATTCTTATCCTGTATCCAGATTCTAGATTTTATGCTCATTATAGAGTAGCAGGTTGTTTTCCAGGAAAACCATTGTTACCAGTAAACATGATTACAAAGAACTTCTTGGGAGAACTTGGACATAGAGAGACAAGCTTATCCTCTGAGAGCTAAAGTTTAAGATAGGCACAAGAGGATTAGTGAGGAGACAGGATGGCTCCCAGGACTGTAAGAGTCAGCTGATCTTAATCCAACCACAGATCTTAAATATATTTGAAGAAGAAAGGAAAGCAGAGCCACAGAGGGAAATTTTGGCACTTTGTCCGTGCTGTGTGCTAGGAATCACATGAGGCTATCTTAATTGGGTGCTATTAGATGGTTTATTCATGTCACTCCTCTCATGCTGATACCTAGCTCACCTGGCCACCTTCCGAGTGTAACGTGACATCCCGAGCACTGCAGCCCACAGGGAGAGAATGCACTGGCTGGGCCAATGCGAGGATCCCGCTTTCATGTGCTGGTAGCTTCTTAATTTCACAGTACAGTGACATGAGTAATCTGGCTTCCAGGAACTTAGTCTTGGTGCATGGGAGAGAAGGGTCAGCTCTTGGGGGCTGACAAAACCAGGTTTCTGAGCCTGTAGAACTGCAGGGTAAATCCAAAATTGGGGCAATTTTAGTAAGTAAACAAATAAAATGCTCTCCTGGAAGGCCTCTTGGAAGACGGAACCATCTACTTGTTTCCCCCGGCAGCATGTTTTCTTTGCCTTGCAGACACAAGCCTGAATTAGAGCCCACTGCTGTTCCTGTAGCCTTGGCCTTGTTCTTGCTAGAGGTCAGTGGTGCTGATGTGTCCAGGCCTTATGTTAATTCCTGCCCAGAATCATTTGCTGAACACCTGATCAATTAAAGACCATCACCTATGAAGGTGATGAGGAAGGCAGGCTGAGTGAGACACGATTCCTCCAATTCAAGTGCCTAACCTTGCAGGAGAGACAGACTTATGCATAAGCAACTTTCAATAATTTCAGTGGTTTTCTGTATTCCTCAAACGCATAAGCCAATATGTAAAACATTTTATAGATATCATTTCATTTATTTTTCACAACTAACACACGAACAGATGAAAATCTGGAGTTTTGAGAAATTAACTAATTTGCTACATGTCACGGATCTCGTAGGGCAGAATGTAGAGTTGATTCCCTGAAACAGGAGCTGCTGGAAAGACTTGTCATTGGAGTTCCAAATAGGTAAGAGTGTAGAGCATGCAGCTGAAATTGTTCTCCTGGTAATTTCCACTCATTGCCTGGTTTTGCCCTGGGAGCTCATTGAAATGAGGGCCACTAGGCAATTTGAAGAGCAATAGAAACATGAGCTGGACAAATTAATGGACCCCCAATCTGGAGTTCTAGTTTAATATGAATTGACAAGAGGGTCTAAAAACCATTGTTAGTGTCAAAGAGTATAATAGAAATTATATCTTCATCCTAGATAGAATTATATCAACTCAGTCTAGTTACCCTGAGTATTTCATTACTCTTCCTGAGCTCTGATTAACTGGAAAGTATTAGTTCATTGAGTTTCAGAAACATATATTGAGTACTAACCTACTATGGGTAGGACACTGAACTGTGTTCTAGGGATACAGAGACAAAAAATACACTCTTCCTATTTCAAGAAACTTGCAGTCCAGGGATGGGGGCATAATTAGATATTTTAAAATATTCTCTTTTAAATTATAACAATAATACATTCTCATTGTAAACAATTCAAGCAGTAGGGGAGTATTTATTTTCCAGGTGCTGAAGAGCCATTGAAGGATGTTATGCTGGTGCCTCCTGGAATAGGGCTGGCCTTGGAAAGACCTTCCTGGCTGCAGCGTGGCAGCTGGCCCAGAGCTGGGTGCTGCAGAGAGCAGGAAGTATCGGGGAGCAGCAAGGAGCCCATGGTGCGACTTCAGCCAGAGGTGGGGAGGGTCTGCGCTAGGACAGAGGCTGCTGGGTGGCTTTGAGAGGTCAGCGGAGGGGAAAGTACGTGTTGGGTTACAGAAGAATATAGGGAAAATACAGCAACTTTGACTTAAGAAATGGGCCCCACTAGACAAAACTTTTCACAAGCTGGTCTCCTGGAAAGTGCCCTGAAGGCACAGCTAACCAAACAACCACCCTCCTGGGCAAAGGCTCCCCAGGTGAATGGTTTTGCCATATTTCCAATTCCAGGAACTGGCTGGAATAACACTTATGCAATGGGAATGCACGGGGCCCGCCTCCCGGAGCCTGGCTGGTGGAGCACTTGGCAAGACCGGAGTCCTCTGCAGAGTGGAAAGTCCTGCTGCTCTGCTGCAAGTGAACTTCCCTCGGATGGCTGACTCAGGGGAGGCCGGAGCTGGCTGCCTGGGCCTGGGCCTGGGCTTGGGCTGGAGCTACTGGGCAAGGAGGAGCTGGGGACGTGCAGGAAGGGCTGTGATGGCACATCATGGCCATGTCTATAACAGAGCAAGCAGAAGACACTGTGTGCTGGGAAGCTCTGCTGTCTTTCCCAGGCAGTGGATAGAGAGAGGGCTTAGAGCCAAAATAGCCTGCTCTGTCCCCTCAGCTCCCTGTACTCTGGGCAAGTCACTTAAGTTCTTTAAGCCTCAGTGTCCTTGTATGTAAAATGAGGATATGCTTAGTACTCACCTCCTAGGGTCATTGCAAGAATAAGCCATAATGAATGAAAACTGCTAGTACTTTGCTCAGCACCTTGTAGAAAGTCAGTATGTGGTAGTCACTGGTTGAGGAGTCAAAACTTTAAACAAATGCAGCTTCCGGGAGGTTGTGGAGGTAGAGGGGAGGCAGAAGGCCATCTATCAAATAAAAGGACAAGTAAAGAATAAACTTCTGACAATAAAGGCACGCTCATGTTATACATCTAGGCATCTAGAGTGGGTATAGCTCCTGAATATTTGCAAACCTAATATTTGCAAATCAAATCATTCTCAAAGCCTTAGGGAGGTTTGTTATTTACAGGTATCCCAGTGGGAGCCCTTGTAATATTGATGTTGCTACTGACAATAATACAGTGCTATCGTCTCACCAGGAGCTTTCGGAGGAAAGAGACAGTTTATCTCTGTTTCTTCAGTAACCCTTGGTCCTCTTTCTTTTTCACTAAACAGAATTGTTGGTTGAATCCCATATTTGGGTAGTTCTTTATAGACTACCCTGGGCTTTGGGATACATTATCTCATTTGTTCTTTGAGCAATATGGAATTGTAGAATAAAGTTGGATTTGAGTCCCTGTCCCTGTTGTACTGGTGAGGAAACCGAGGCTCAGGGTGGTAACGTGATTTGCCTGAGTCACTCAGTAGGAGGGAGAGGATTTAGAATCCAAACCCAGGTTTTCAGACACTCAATCCAGAGTTTCTTCTTCTCCTCAGCTGTTAGCTCTTTCCAGAGACTTTCAGAGTCCACCGTCCCCTGTTTACACGTACGTGGTATGGCAGGGAGGCCCTGGCAGTGGGCAGGAGGTGGGATTTCGCCACTGAGCATGCACGTTCTGTGACTGAGTGCAAGTATGTAGGGTAAATAAATACTCAGACGAGGAGGCTCCCTTCCCTTGCTCTCCACCCTGGTTATGTGGGAGGGAATTCTGGGTCACAACCACCATTAGAATATTAATAACATGTTCTTCAGACAACAGCCTGAATGTCCTCCCACCCAACTCATCGCCAAGCTCTTGGTCTTAGACCAAAGTTCTAGCAAGGATTAGTCAGAACATTCCTCACAAACCTCCTTCGCTAGGCTCCTCCTGTCTGCTGGCCTCTCACCAGCGCCCCACTCTACTGGGCAGGAGCATCCGGGAAACTCCTGCCCCACACCATTCAGAAGCAGGACTCGCTCTGCCCATCGACGTAGCACCCAGTGCTAATTTAGGTCATCATAGATGATTGGTTTTCAGATTTTTGTGATAGGTAACTGGGAAATTCACTCATATCTTACTTCACAAGGCTAAAGAGGACTATTAATAAAAAGCTGTTTTCTCATTGGTCCTCACAGGAAGAATGGTCTAGTTCTGAATTCTGGTGTGTTTGTCTCAAGGAAGTGGAGCTACTCACTTGAGGGTGGACACAAAAGGCTCTCTGAGAAGACGTTTGAGCTGAGACTTGAGGGAGGAGGAGCTGGCACACACACAGCTGAGGGAAGCACATTCCAGAAGGGGGAACTGTGGGTGCCAAGGCCTTGAGATGGGGGTGAGTTCGGAGTGTTCAAGGAACTGGGGAAAGTCAGTGCAGCCGGTGCCTGGTGTGTGCCAGGTGAGTGAGGGGTGGCGTGGTCTCTGCTGAGGCTGGAGAGGCGGACAGAGGCCCGCGGCCAAGGGCTTTAGTTTGTTCATTTGCTAAGTGCAGGAAGCTTCCCTCCCACTAAGATATTAGGCAGGTGGAAGGATTTTGCAAACTGAGAAGCACCATTCCAAGACTAGGTCACATTCTCCTGGTACCATTCCTCCAAGGACTACTGGAAAACCCAAATACAAGGATGACTGTGGCTGCTTTTTTCTCCTAATTTCCCCATAGCCTTGACAGGCAAATAAGCAAAGAGCAAGACCAGAAACTTCCAGTTTGGCCAGAGCTCCTTTCTCGTGGCCATCAGATAATTAGGATGCAGGGTTTGAGGGAGAGCATGAGAGGCGAGAATGCAATCAGTGCCCTCTCTCGGCACCACTGTCTGAGACGTGAAGGGCCCAAGGAAGGGGCGAGAGAACTCACCCTGACACAAGACCCTTTCTGGGCGCCCCGTCCCTCTCACTGTCTGCAGATGGTCACGGTCACCACCTTTCAGCATCTGATGGCACCATATGTTCTCTGACCAATGCACAGCTCCCTCAGCTCTGTCCGATTTTTCAAAAGCACCAAAGACTCCTTTTTCAGCAAACAGTCTTCAGGGAAGACAGAGGTGAAGACCTAACCCTTATTTCGCTTGTAGTTAAGGCTGACTTGGGGCTGAATCACCTAAGATGAGAGATGCCACTGGCTTGCTCTGTCCTTATCCCTAGAGCTTACAGTGAGGCAATCACTTTTGGTTCACAGGCTTGGTGCACGGATCTCACTTAATAATTAAAGGCACATTTGGAAACATGGTAAGTGTCTCTCTTAAAGAGACCCTGAAATCTCTTTAAGCCCAGTCACGTCCCAAACCCTGCTTTTAATGGAGAACTCACCATCTACTTCCTTTCCACGGACTGGATCCGAGCTTCTTGGTATAGCCCATTCTGTGCTGTTTTCCATACAATTTTGGTTTGTGCTGCTTTCAATCCGTTCTTCTGCTTCCGTTTCTGGACTGGCCTTGCCCTTCGACCCTGACATTAAGCTTTATTTCATTTGTCACCACTGGGGCTCTCTCTCAACCCTGAATTCTGGACTCTTTTGGTTTGACCTGTGTCTGGGACCCCATCAGCTTCAGCACTGGGCCCCCCACCCCCATGAGCTGTCTCACTGGGCCCCTGGAGGTACCAGGAGCTGGACCCAATGTGAGGAATAAGATAATATAATAACACAGTTCCAAATCCAGGTTCATCCATGTTGTCACAAATGACTGGCTTTCTCTCTTTTTTAAGGCTGAATAGTATTCCACTGTGTGTGTGTGTGTGTGTGTGTGTGTGTGTGTGTGTGTGTATACCACATTTACTTTATACGTTCATCCGCTGATGGAATGGGTTGTTTCCATGTCTTGGCTATTGGGAATAGTGCTGCCTGATAAAAGATTAGACTTTTAAATGTTCTCACCACAAAGAATGGATAAGTATGCAAACTGACCGATCTGTTAATTAGACTGATTTAATCATTCTATAATGTAAAAATGTATCAAGACACCACATCATACCCCATAAATATTTAATTATTAATTGTCAATTAAAAAAAATAAAAAAGAACACTACAATTGACTACTGGGTCTGCCCTATTCAAATCACACTTCAGGGTGTGGTGTCTTTCTTGAGATCTAGGGAACCATATTTACCCAACGTCCACGCATGCTTTCCAGGACTTACAGGGTACCTGGCAGGGTGCTGGGCTAGGATTATAAGGAAAGGGGATGGGTTTGTCATAGCAGAGAGGAAATGTGCTTTGGAGTCAGAGAAAGTAGAGTGCAAAATAAAGCTGTCTTGACCAGTCATGTGACCCTGGGTGGATTACTTGACTCTTGGAGCCTCAATTGTCTCATCTGTAAAATGGAGATAATAGTGACTACCTTACATGGTGATAGGTGATTTGGAACATTCCATGGGATAAAGTATTTAAAATACCTAGTGTTTAGGAGCTGCTGAATGAATGGTAGCTGTGTACAAACACAGCCATCCTCACAGACATGCTGGTATATTTTGAAAAGAAAAAAATAAAGCCCTGCCCTTAAGTCTTGAGAAATTACCTAATGTTTCTTCCACTTTTTTTTTTCTTTAAATCTTATGTTACCTTCTCCCTTTCCCCTACCTACTGGCATGTAACTTGTGATTTTCAAATGAGCCAGCCAAGATGGGATCATTATTCATTGTAAACAAGCTTCCTAATATAAGATTCAAATGTACTGCTCTGTGATTTTTATTAGTACCTATGGGCGTGTGTGCTCGTGTCTGTGTAATAAAACTGAACACTTAGTATGTACGTGACACTATGCGGGGTCCTTTCATGTGTGTTCTCCTATTTCACCCTCACAACCACCCTGAGCTATGCTTTATTATTTCCACCTGATGGGTGAGCACATGAAATCTCAGAGAGATTAAGGAATTTGTCCCATGTCACACAGATAGTGTGAAACAGGATTCAAACTCAGGTGTCATGGGTCCACATTGGAGTCTACAGGCATAAATATATGTGTATATATATATGTATAGACTGAAAAAATGTGCAGAAAACAGACCAGTATGCATTTATGTACACATATAAATCTCTCTCTAGATATAGGCATATTCATTTATTTATAAATATGTAACTATATGGTGCATTATTTTAAAGAAAAAAAGAAGAGTTTGACTCCAAATCTGTCTTGTGTCGTTGTTGTGAGAATTAGAAATAAGAAATATAAAAATGTCCCTGGTGTCCATCACATTTTGAAAGTTTATTTGGGGAAACCTGTGTAGTTAATTAAAAGAGCGCAGGCTTGGGAGTAAGCAGGGCGGACTTCACCGTTTCCTGGTGGGGCGGTGGGGTTTCAGATCCCCGTCATCAGTACTGTTTCCCCGTTGATGTGCGCAGATGAGAGCACAAACTCCCCAGGCTGGCTCAGCCCAGGGGAATGGCATGCGCGCATGTGTGTGTGTGTGTGTGTGTGTGTGTGTGTTGCGGGCAATGTCTCTGGCTCTACCTCCTCCCCATGTCCATACCACACCGACCTGAGGGAGCTCCTTCCTGTGTCATTTCTTGTCCTGTGTTCTAACAAGGCTTGTTTTTCTCCCTCCTTCCCTATATGTCTTTTCTTCCTTCCTTCCTTTATCCCTCCCTCCCCCTTCCTTCCTCTCTCCTTCTCTTTTACTTCGTTCTTTCCTTCCTCCTTCCTTCTCTCCCTCCCTCCTTCCCTTCC